CCTTGTTCAACTATTTTTACCTGCTTTTTCCACCTTCTCATGGGAACAATGAAGAATGAACAATCAACAGTTTATTCAGTTTCATTTGATTCAGTTCTTCTCATCATCAACTGTCAACAAGCTTGCAATTATTGTTGTGATTCGCCATTGTTGACTTTATCCATCATCATCACCTTTATCATCTTTATCAACATTTTTATCTTTTCTTTCTTTCAGAATCTCAAGTTTCTCATGTAATTTTGAAACTTTTTTTTCTTCTCTTCTCTTCTCTTCTTTCCTTTCACTTGCATTTTATTGCATTTCTGGTTAAACTTTTTTTTCTGCTTCTCCTTTCGTTTCGTGTGATTAGTTGTTACAACGATTATTACACTCTTTTTTTATCCCTCCCAGCTCAATGGCTTTTATTCATGTACAACTGGTACTTTGCAACAGATTTTACATGACACTTTCTGGTCACATATTCAGTGTAACAGCTTGTTAGACTGTTTCCAATTATTATGATGCTTATCGAAATTCATGTCGAGTAATTTTGCTTCTTTATCAGATTCAAGGTTTACAGATGAAAAATGTTAGTCGCTTGGAAGGAGTAAATGAAGAGAGCAACAAAAAATATTTCAAACTCATGTTTAGCTTGTTGAACAAGGTTGATTGAAAAATTTATTTTCTTCCAAAGAGACTTTACTAGTTGAGATGTGATTTAATTATTTTCGTCTCATAACTGGAACAGTAATTGATTGAGGAAGAAAATTCTGAAAAATAGTGGGAATTAATCGTTTCAAAGTCGACGCGACACCCAATGAGATCGCGATCCTTTGGAAAAAGTTTTTCTCATCTTTACTTCATGAAGTGGAATGAGAATATTTCTGTTTAAATAAGCTATTTTCATTCCGTTCTATCATGGAAACTGTTGATGGGGTAAGCTACTCAATACATTAAATTGATCCATTATTTATAGCAATCAAGCTCAATTGATCGGACAACTGTTTTTTGCTGCAACAACTTTGGCTCAACAGTGTCATTCGAAATTATCTCGAATATTTACTTGACCCTCAACTCATCAAAAGATCGCTTTATTCTTGGCTCATCATTACGAGCAACTTGTCCAAGTTTGACATTGTTTTCAATGAAGTTAAACGAGTCAATTTACACACAAAAACAAAGTCTATTTTGGTCAATGAGTTTTACCAGTTCAACCTTGTGACAACATTTTGACATGTTTTGACTTTATTAGTTTTAAACTTTCGATACTTCAATTAGAGCAACAATGGCTTCATCATGTAAGCTCCATTATTGTTCATTAATCATGATGTGTTCAATAGTGGATCAGCCCAAGATCGGAAGTAAATTTACCCCAAATTCATTAGTGAACAAGTGAAATGACTGTACAAATGAACGACACCAACAACATGAAACTAGAGTAATTATTTCATCAATCATATTTTTCTGGTCACTTCATCATCATCATAATTGTAGCAAATAATTAGACTAATAATTAATCAAAGTAAGTGTACTGCAAGAGGGAAAACAGGGAAAATCATTCAACTGTCTATTACAATTTTAGGAGCAGATTAAATGAACAAAAGTTTGTGTCCATCAGTGAGAGTAAATAAAGTCGAAAGGAGAAAAAAGAAAGAAAAGGTTGAATCATATTCATGTTAACAAGATAATTAATTGGTTGACAATGGGAAAACAGCGCAATTAATCTGAGTTGAACCAATAATTGAATGATGAGGAAAAGGCAAGTGAAACGAGGAAAATGGAAATTATGAAAAGATGAAAACGAAAAGAGAAAATGAAAATTTCTCTCAAGAGACTCATGATTTTTACATTGCAATGATGTGTTTATAATGGCAAATATTGCATTTAATGGTTGATGGGTTGAGTGCGAAAAGGGTTAAAGAAGATGACTTGAACTTGAAGCAAGCTGAAAAGAGTTTGGACAAGTAAAGAGGTAAAACTGGCGAATGCATGTGAATGAGAATCAAATGTGACTCTAAGTGGATCGATAAGCACTTATCCTTACCTTTACCAATAAGTTGAGACGCATGGGCATGTTGACAAGTTGATACATTATAACATTGGAACTGATGAACAGCATTCGGTAAAACAAGGGAAAATAATGAGAAGAGTTCTGAAAGCATCCGAAGGGAATTTCCTTTCAAATGCCTTTCTTTTGTCAACATTTTCTTCCTTCAATCGATCCGGCATCAACAGTTATATTATCATTTTCATCACCTTGTCGAGTTGTTCACCTGTCGAGACTTGGGCAACGATGCAATGACATTTTTTCCTGTTTCATGTGTCATTGGAAGAAATTTCTTTTTCTAGAAAATAACATTCCTTATTTACAATCGTTCCAGATGGAAACAGACAGATATCAAGCGAAGAGAAAGGAAAAAAAACAGAATCAAACAGAAAGTATTAACTTTTCACTAATCACAAGCCTGCAGGCCATTCTAGACAAGAGTTTACTCCAAATGTGTAACATGGAATCATTACAGGGTGAAATTTTTCGGTTCATTCCAAGTTCTCATTAAACTGACAGAAACCAATTAAAAGAGCTTTTCAATCTTTTCATTTGTGGTTCAAATCGTGGAAAAATAAATTGCTTATCAACACCATAAAACCAGTGTTCAAACAAGTGCATATCTTGTCAATCGAAATGCGAACAATTACAATTTATTCATCGACAAATATTCTTTCAGTAAATTTTGAACAAACATTAAAAATCAAAGTTCTAATAGTTTTCTGAACCAAAAATATTATCGGAATTCAACCGCGATTAGTCGAATGAAATGTGCGAAAATCTCTTTCTCAAAAGTCTTGAAGTTATTGTCATTTTCTATTTCAATTTTTGTGAGAAAATTCCATGAAAGAGTTCAACTTTACAAAAGAAATTTTCTATTGAAAAATCTCTTTTTTCGTTTCCCCAATTATCGAGATTATCATTTTAATGAATTCACTTGCACCTTGAAACATTAAACACTTTTATGTTTACACGAGTCCGTAACACTGGAACTCGAAAAGTCAATTTCACTGGAGAACCCCACAAAACTGTACTGATTTGCTTTCAGTTTCCTTTGATATTCGATGAAATTTTCAGCAAATTGAAAATTTCCAAATTCTTTTCTAAATATAGCCTGTTGCTTATCGAGTATTTTGTTGACTTGAATCCTTTTCCATCTGCGTTCACATTTGGTTAGACAAATGTTTAAACAACTTTTTCTTTTTCCTTGCTTTTCAACTTTATCCAGCTTTCCCTTAAACCCATTCAATTGTTTTTAATTTAAAACTTTACCTTCAACTTGATTCCACCCTTTTCCATCTCCCAATAAATGCTCAATTTTCACCTTATACTCTTCCCTGATCTCCTCTCAACTTGCAACCTTTCAACGTGAACAAACGTAACTCTCTTCCCACTGGCAATGTCAACTAATGTTTTGTTGCCATTTGTTGTCTTTTTTTTTGCTTCTCTTCCTTTCCATTATTGTTGCCTTTCACCTAAATTTAAATCTGATTTACCTCTTATTGTTCTGTAAATGATTGGTTAAACAAATTTGTAAACCCTTTTTAAATGTAAGCCTTTTCTTTATTCAGTTCATTCTCTTCATTTACTCACTCTTTATCCTTTATCCTATTGTATGTTTCCAGCGACTCTTTACATTCTTTCCACTTGAAACCTTTTCTCATCTTATTTACGTCAACAAAAACGAAGCACAAAATTTCATCAAATTTCACCTCTTATCCTGAGTATTCACTTATTATCTTTTATCATTCATTTTGTGTCTTTACTCAATATTATTTATCCATTTCTTTTCATTCCAAATCATATTTACCTTTTATACTGTTTACATGATAACAAATGGAATGCAAAAATGGAATGGAAAGAAAAACATTTTCAAGTTTATTCCATCAAAAGCATAAAGATATTTAAAATTGATAACTTGTTTCAGTTGTTGTTTACTCCATGTAAACATGGAATGTTCAACGTTTCAGATTGCAAGGTAAATCTCGTTAAAAATGACAATCGCGATAATTGGAGAAACGAAAAAAGAAATTTCAATAAATTTCTTTTTCTAAAAATTGTTTCATTGAATTTTCTCACGAAACATTGATGGAGACCAGATAATATTCAAGAATGGTTAACATGGTTTGCTTGACTAATTCATCATCATTATCAACCGAAAGGTGAAGGCAATGAATAAAGAGTGAAAAGGCTCAATTTATATGATAATTTTGTTCGATGCTCTTTTCTTTTGGAATCACTTTTCTTGTTCTTTACCCAATTAGCTTGTACTAATAATTGAACGTCTCGAGTTTGACACATTTTTTATTCTCTCAACATTTGTAAACAGTAAAGTGTTACAAAGTTTGTTTCAATTTACAGGGGAAAAAGTGAACAGAGAATAATGTTGCTCGAATAAATCATGTTTTGAAATGAGTTTGTTACATGATTCACAGTCATCATCATTATACTTGTTTTACCTCAACTTATCCTCTAAACCATTAACTGAAACACACATTGTTAATCAAAATGTTGATCATTATCCAGCGACATTCAACATTTGGAAAAGGCAATATTCAAAATCGAATCAAGGTGGAAATGGAAAAATTCAACTTGGAAAATGACATGAAAAGTTCAATAATTGTTCGAATTTTCCTGGCACATTGGGTGTGATTCAACCATTAACTTGATCCCTGGATAAATTTGAATAAAGAAGAGGAAAGATTAAATTAGTCGATGAAATTGGTTCAAAGAAAATCAACAGTTTTTGGTGAATTGGAATCAATGATTTGTGTTTATCGACTTGAGAGGGAATTGCAACTTTTCTGGGAAAATTTTCTTTTGAGTAAAGACAAACTTTTCTGACGGCGAAATTGATGTTTGATATGAAATTGCTTTTTTTGTAGAAACTTTTTTTCGAAAACTTTTTCTTCACTCAACTTGTTCAATTGTTCAACTGAACTGTTTTACTTATTCATTTTCTTTTCGTTTTCAGTCTCGAAGTTTACTGGAACTACCACAGGGTCGAACTCAGAGCACGCATTCACTCGACTTGCCCAACCCTGATCAACCTAGAAGAGCTTCAGCTCCCGAAGGTGAAAATATAACGATTGTTATTGACGATGTTGACTCGGCAGGTAAGCTTTGAATTTTATCTTTTTTCGTTTTTTTCATGTTTACAATTTTCTCAAGTCATTCAATCAAAGAAACTTTAATTTGCTGTTCATTAAATAAGTAATCATTTCCAAAATTGAATTCATTTCATTAAATCTAAATAATTCAAGTAGAAATTACGATTCGATGAAAGTTTTTCATTTAAAATGATTGTTTACGTGAAAAATTGAACATCTCTTAGAGTGACTTTTAAGGGTTGAAAAGCTGTCAGCATATTCTTTAAATATTTACTGCGAACTTTGATTTCGATTCAATTTACGTTCGTTTATTGATTTAGTATTTACATTTCATTTAATCACTTTGATTAACTTTGAGATGAAAAATGATGAAAATTGAGAAGCAAAATCGAGTTAAACTCGAAACCAATCCAATCAACTAATTGAATAGGCAAAGACAAACAATAAGATGTTATACAAATCTTTATTTCAACTGAACACCATGAGTCAAGTGAATCAACAAGTTGAATAAGAAGAAGAAAAGTCAATTACCTAAAAAGCACAATCAAATCAACTACAAATAATGACATCAAGTTTAGTGGAAAACATTTCTATCTCAATCTTTAAATTACAACTTTTTTCGAGTCTAGAATTAGTCTTTTCCAGACATTTAATTGTTGATTTGGATTTAATTTTCCTTTTCGTTCATGTTTTTTTTTGTTCTCTCGTTCTTTTGTTTTTTAGGAGTTCGAAAGTCAAACTCGCAAATTGAACGAATCATTTTACATCGAGATGAAAATGATGTCAACCCAAGAACTCATGGGTTTGGTCTTGTCGTGATGGGTGGTAAAATAAGTGAAACTGATGGTAAATTATATGCCTACGTTGCCTACGTTGTACCTGGAGGTTCAGCCGATAAAATGTCTCTCAAAGCAGGAGACAAGATATTGGAATGGGATAGAAAGAGTTTAGTCAATTGTACATTTGAACAAGTTTGCTCGATTATTGAGTCCTCACAAAACACGGCCGAACTGCTCATTGAACCTTATAACCGAACGTAAGTAACTTTTCTTCAAATCAACTATTTTAATATCGACGGGGAGAAACTTGTCAAATCTTGAACATATTGAAAACCCAGTAAACCCAAACCCATTTAAGTGAAAGTATCTATGTTTGCTTAATAGTCTTGAGTAAACTATACAAATTATTTTATGATTAATTGAAAGCTCAGTGTTTAAAGTGTTGGATAAAATAGTGAAAAGATCTAGCCTGACGAGGGAACGAGTCTAGGCTCTGTGGCTCAGATGTCTGGCTTTCTCTCAGAGGCCACGGGTTGGAACCTCTATATCTTCGATGGTGTAGACCAAGCTAAGCTTAGCTTGGTATTGCACGAAGGGATTGACTTAGAGCTGTTCATTAATACTGAGATCGGTACTGAAATGGTGTTGTGATATGTTTAGTCGTCTCCCAGAACTCATGGCTAAATATCACTGAACCATTTGAGAATGGATGTTGAATCGGGTTTGGATGATATCTGAATCCAGCAGTTTAGGGAATCTTTTTGTTACTGGAAATTCAATTGAGTGTGTAACACGCATAAAACATATTGAACGTAACTTTTGTGCAATATTTGACTCTTTTATTCGACGATCATGTGCATGGGTCAACTGGTAAGTTGACAGTTTTCCTGCTCACTAATTCTGTGCTTTTTGAGTTATTCAAGACTGGAGATGATTTTGATGAGAAAAATGTTGAGTAAATATTGATATTATTTTACAAGGAAACAAGAGGGATCAACATTGAAAGATTCATTAGTTTCAAATTGAAATGTGATAACAAGTTGTACATGACAGAGATAATATTCTCAGACAAACTGATTGATTGATTTCCTGAGTTTCATTCTCTACTTGTCTCTTCATTGAAGCTTTTCTTACAAAAAATTAGCATTCAGGAAGCTCGGAGTTTTCAGTAAAGACAAAATCGGTAGCTTATTTAAAGATCAGTGTTTTCCGAGTTACATTTAATGGAAAAATTCCAATTAATCGTTAATATCATCTTTTGCAGTTGCACAAGAAATTTAATAATGTTTCAAGACGGAATTTCACAAGAAAATTCGTAATTTTTTTAAAGTTGATTCACAAAGAACTACGAAACCTTCCAATGTCATGTTATGATTTATTTTTGATTCAATTGTTTTCATGTTTTACAGTAACTCATTGCAAAATCTTGAGTTATAATTAAATCCAAAGCTATTTTTATTTCACAAACTTCATCAACTCATTGATTTCAAACTTTCATTATTTTATCGTTTGTCAACAGATGTTTGGAATCGACAAAAATGAATGCAAGTAAAGTGTAGTGCCATCTGTTGTAACCTTTTCCATCCATTTTCAGGTTCCATTCAAAGTCGAGTTTCGAAAAATTTCCTTTTACTTGGTTCGATTCTCGCTTCCAATACCTTATAGCATCACTTTCCTTTGCAGTCGTGTTTCGATCCGATGTCTAAAAATATTTAAAGAAGATCGATCTCTAAAAAATAAATTCTTTTCGAGTTGAAATACAGAAGCAATAGTTCGATGAAAAATCGATCATTTTCTTGTGAAATCTTGTTCGATAACATGAAAACATTCTCAAAGTCGATGCTAAAGGCAATGAGCTTTGGAAAACGAAAAAAGCCAAAAATTGGAAATTCATATTTTGGATAAATTTCCGTTCTATTTGGCAAATTCGTTGCATTTTTTCTGCTCGAAAAAAAGTCTTAAAAAATGAACAGTAAATGTTTATTCAGTAAATGTATTTACCTAGGAAAACTGGTGGTTTTAAATTCAGTTTATCATGAACTTTTTTTCTTCTATTCTTGCTGCAACCATGAAAGCAAAAATATTAATATTTGCTTTTCACATTATTGCCATATGAATGTGAATATCATGAAGAAACAAAAAACGGAATAAAAACTTTTGCTTCTTCTTTACCAAATCAAAGTAAATATTGTTCTCCAGGTTTCCCATTCATTCAATAGTATGGATTAATTTTACCTCCTTTTTGTTCATCAATCAATAAACCCTCAAGGCTATTCATGATTTTCTATTTTCATCAATTCCACCTTTTATCCAGATTCTAAAGTATCACTTTTCTCTCTTTCTTCATGTTTACGAAAAGTATATCGATATTGGATTCACCTTTTTTAACCCAAAAAGTTCCAACCAGATTCAATTTACTTTTTTCAACTAAACTCTAATGCTCTTAACTTTTCCCTTTACATTATAATCAGTTGAGGAAATGAGTGAAAAGTGAAGGAAAATTTGAAAAACTTTCAGAATTTCATTCTTTCCATGTAACTAAAGACTAAACTTGCTAATTAATCCATGAAATTATGGAAAACATGAAATGAAATTAATAGGATAATGAGAATAATAACCTTTTCTTTCTTCATTCCATTATGGTGAACTCATCAATTGTCTGGCATTTCATGTTTTCAACTGATAACGATTTTGAAAGGAAACTCAAATTGAGTCAAATTTTGCAAGTTTTTAAATTCATTTTTGCTTTCAATTTTCTTTTTCTTTTTGATTGGTTTTGCAGTGAACGAAGAGGCGCTCTGATTCACCAACGTCGACGACTGAGCCAAGCTTTTAGCCAAAGTGGAAGTGACATTTATTCAAGTCCGCCAATATCACCTTCCTATCAAGGTGGTAATCGATCAGGTCGCAAGTTACCTAGAACTCCTGAATCGGTTCAACCGGTGGGTCAAGGGGAGATACTTATACAAACTTGGGTCGATTTGGAGCGAAGTGAGTTGGTGATAACAATTATATGTGCCAAAGGTTTAAACAACAAGAGGCCTTGCTTTGCTCGGGTTCGAATCATTCCTGAAATGTAAGTAATTTTCGATTTATTTTCTGCTCAAGTTTTGTCTTGCCATCGTCAGTTTTTTATCCTCTATCCAACCAGTCTACTGCATTGGATACATTTTGATTTTCAACTTGAAATCCAATATATTTATTTACTTGATATCAAATTTTTGGTCAAAAAGTTTTGAACGAAAATTGCATTTGGAAAAGATTCAATTCTTAGATTAAAACTATTTCGTCGCGAATAGCTTCAATTGTTTTTTTTCAAAGCTCGAAATGTCTCTGAGTTATTCGAATGCGACAATTTGGATGAAAAATTATCGAAATTTGTGTTCTCTTTTCAAGTTAGATGGAAATTGAAACTAAATGCTTTTCTTGTGATTACAGGGGCTTCAAAAGCTGTCAAACTGAACTGAGTAATGGACTTGAATGGAACGAAACTGTTATTATTCAAAAATTTCCAATTGAAAAGGTATCAACTTCGTTAGATCTTTTATTACAAGAAAAATTACGAATTGAAATGTATTATAACTTTGATCAACTTTACTTTACTTGCATTTAGATTACTGAAATGGCTCTTGAAATTGGGATTTGGGAAACAATGGGAGATAAACCTGAGCTTCTTGGCGAAACTGTGATACCAATGGAAAGTGCCATTGCTCATAATACTGATTGGTGGCCTCTCTTGTTGCCTCAATATCTGTGCAACCTTGCTCGAAGCTCTTCTCTCGACACTTTAGGTAACGCAAGTCTTTTACTTTACAAGAGTTGAAACTAAAAATTACATTTTCTTAACACTTTAACTTTACTTCTTTTACCAGCCGTTAAAGCATTGACAGACGGTTTCTCTTGCCTTTCCGAGTCTAAATCAGTGCCATCAAGTCGCCGTAATTCGGGTCGATCAGACATCATTGATCCACTTCGAGTAATCAACAATTTAAACACGTCAGCATCTCATCTTCATTCATCTGCATCAAATATCTCACCAAGCCGAACAATGAGCCTACGAATAGCTCGACCTTCAAGTGAAACCTTAGTCCATCACGGCCCAATCCCGGGTCCAACAAGTGCCAACCAATTAGTTGCTGGATCAGGTGGTATGGGCACACCGCCACCAAGCCTAACAGTTGAACCTCCACCGTTGAGTCCAAGACGTAAAAGTGCTTCATGCATAGCATCGAGTAAAATGAATCGTTCCTTTAGCCTAAAGTCAAACCCAGATACAACCGGAGGTGAAAACATTCGCGTAGATTCCTCGGCTTCATCCAACTACCATCAATCAGTGACTACAAATTCCGATTCCGATTCAGAAGGTATTACCTCGGAAAGTGATTCAGTCAATACATCAACAATTTCCCAAATGGGCTGTGATTTAGGTAATGAAACTAACGAAGAAAAAAAATTATCCCAAACACAATCAAAATTCATTAACTTTTCCTTTACTTTGAACCTCAATATTTCAATTGTCAACCAAAGTCACAATAAAAAAGCCTTTTGTTTTCCTTCTTCTTCCATCCAACTCCTGAGTATTTTAATGAATTTACATGAACTGGAAAAGAGGTAAAAATGTTGCAGATGATAGTAATTTGACTCATCAATAATGTTGAAACAACAACAAATAGGGAAAGGAAGAAAAAGATAATGAGAAGAAATAATTTTCTTCTTTTTTTCCCTGAAAAATGATTCTCATTATATTCTGAAAACTGAGCAACTAATTTCAAAGTTTTCAGGAATATAATGCAATAATCAATTCACTTCTCAATACAGAGGATAAAAAGAGAGTAAACAAAGAAGCACGAGAAAAAATGGAATCAAGATGAGGATGAAAAGGGAGGAAAAAAAGTAAAGGTATGAAAGGCTAAGCCAGACTAAAGACTATCAAATTTGATAATAATGGGTTTTGTATAATAATATTAGCACAGTCAAAGTACCATTTATTAATAGCAATTTGTTTTTGTTTTTTTTCCATCGTTTCTCTTTCCACTAACTTTGTACTTTGTTTTGTTGTAAGTTCATCCATTTGCATACATTTATAGCAAGTTATGATAATGTTGGATGAAAGGCAATTCAAACTAGTTGAACATTTTTCCTGTTCACTCTTCTATTCTTGTTGCTCTTCTTGTTTTTGGATTATTATTATGATGAAAACATTCCCTTCAAGTCAATTCTTGTGCTAATCATGAACCCTTTTTTTGCAGCAAAGTCAATTAACTGATAAATGGAATTTTCATTTTTCTCCTTTCTCTTCTTTTCACCATCAAATGAATGTGCATTTTAACGATAATTTATCACTTTTCAACTGATCAACTTGATGGTTGATTAAGCCAAGAGTTTGTGACCTTTTATAGTTAAAGTTTTGCGCAGTTTGTCAACTACTTTTTATATCGAGTCTTTTGTTGACTGATTAATGGGAATGGTGTTAAGATTTATTGCGACTTTGAGTTGAGGTGATGGAAATTGTCGAGTTTTAATTTTGCTTTTTGGCTTCTTCACAGGTTCCAATCTAATTGTTGGTGAAATTAAACTTGGCTTTGTCATGACGAAAGGTTTACTAGAGATTGAAGTTATCGCTGCTCGTGGCCTTCCTACAACTCATTCAAAGCAACCTCCAGGTAACCTCGACTTGACTCGATTTTAAGAAAATTTTCTTATTTTCTTTTAGTTGTTGACTTAGAAGTCAAAAAGTATTTTGAGCATTCTGAGTGATGATTTGATCTAATCTATTTTCTCATTTTCTGTTTGTTCAGATACATATGTTAAAACTTATCTCAAGGAAAGTAATCGTCACACAAATAAAAAGAAAACTCGAGTTGTCTATGGTTCTTGTGATCCCCAATATCGACAGACTTTGAAGTATGATGCTGCCCTGATTTACGGTCGATCGTTACTTGTGATGGTCTGGCAAAAGCATAAAGGATTCGAACACAATACTCCATTAGGGGCAGTTGATGTTAAAGTGAATTCCCTCGAGCTACATAAACTGACCATTAGCTGGTTTAAACTTTACGCACTAAATCATTCTCCATAAGTGGCATATTTTGTATTAAATTGTTTCGATCCACATTGAATCAAGTGTAAAAATGAAACTTTTAAAGTGTATAGAAATAAAAATATAAAAGCGTTGGCTATTCGTTATAAGTTATAAAGTCACAAAAAACGTGGAAATTTTTGAATCATTCCGTTTGCGGAGTAACTCAACAGGTGATTCAGGTCAAATTTACATGGACCAGCATTTAGATGACATAAATGGCACTTGGCAGCACAGCAAATTGACACTTATTTTGATTAATCTATTACATCGGAGCTCTAGCCCTAGCATAGTGCTAGGATAATTTACAATCAAGTGTACACGTAAATAATATTAACTATCGTCTTACTATTGGCTTTATTGCAGCACTGATTTTTGATCAAAATAAGATTATTATCAAACTATTATTAAATATTATTATTACTATTTTATTATCAAAATTGTTTATTTACTGTATTTGGAACGACCATCATTCTTTGGGCTCTTATGGGTCATCCAAGATAGAATAAAGAAAATTTTAATTCCGAAAGATCTTCCGACTAAGAGGCAGTTAAACTTTTCCATACAAATTGAACTTCAATACTTTTGGTTTAAAAGTTCGATCCCGATGCTCAGCATTGGATGCTGCAAACTTTAGAACGTAGCGCCATCTTTTGTTTGGATTGAAAGATACCAGATAACAGCTAAAAACAAGAATAGGTTTACCCATGATTTGAAACAGCTAACAGTCAAAAATGTAACTGTTTTTATGTGCATGTTTATGCTACTTTAGTAGCTTAATTTTAATTGCTTTCACTTTGTCAAATTTGTGAGCCATACAAATAGAGTTAAGACAAGAGGAAAGACAATGAAGTGGGCTGGAGACAGCCAATATTTCACATAAGCTAAGGTTACTGAGAGTTATACTTTGTTTACGGCCAAATTATGGCTACAAGTTTCATTCATTTTAAATGAGTAAGATATAATCAACCAACATAGACCTGAATTTTTAATGAAAAAACTATCTTCAGAATGAGAAATCCGAAAGTTGTAATCTTTAGCTTTAGTCACTTTGATAATATTCATTTTTGTTTGGTCGGTAATTCTGAGATTCCGGCCTTGTAACAAGATTCTGGCTGATTTTTGAAATATGCTTCGGCTTCGGCTATAAGAGCGGAATTGGAGCTAAAACGTCGTCCTATGAGATATTCTTTCAGATTTTTGAACAGAAAATAGTCACTTGAGGCTAGGTCTGGTGGATACAGTTGATACATGATGAGTCCCCATAATTCCTTGATAATTTGCTTGGTTTTTTGAGTGACATGAGGGCGGCATTATCATGAAAAAAGAGCGGCTTATGGTTGGTAATTGGAAACTTCCCTGATCCCATTAATGACGCAACTTTTTAATTGTTTCCTGAGAGTAGTATAAAAAGGGCGTCTTTCAATCCGCTTTTTAATATGCAAATGAAGGGGCGGCGCGAGGGGAAAAATCAGCTAATTAATTGAAGAATGCTCAAGTGTGATGAATTTTAATTGAGTAAATCAATGATAATAGATAATAGATAAAGAGTCAACAGATTAATGATAACTTGACCAGATTTTCTTTAGTTTTATATGTTAACCATGTACTTACTCATTTCCATTTGTGGAATTCATTTCCGCAAACAATTTCTCAGGGAAATTTTTTAATATGGACAAGAAACATTAGGGACAGGATACATAATGCCCATATATGAAAAATCAATTAATGCAGAAAAAGTAGGAAATAGAGAAAGTTAGCGATAAAAATTAAGGAAAATAAGTGAAAAAACAGTATGAAGAGAAATGGGCAGAAAAGGGCTAAGAAGGGTCAGGTTGAATAGGTGTGATAAGCACTTATAGAATGAATCATGCCTAACAACATGAGCAAAAGAAAAGTTTTGAAAAGTGATCTGCGGAGGTCTGCGCTCCGCTAGAATAATGAGGATACAAAATTTTGAAAAAAATGAATAAGGAAAAGATTGAAAAGAGAATACTAAACAGGGATTTAAGAGTTATTTCCTGGGCTCTAAGGCACAAGATTGTTTTGGTTTTGGATCTGGTTCGTATGCCGCACGACCACGAGGAAAAGGTCGACAAGAGGGTGTACGATGATCAACCATATGTTTGATCCATTGTGTTCTTCTTTCACGCAGGGACTCTTGCATCGGTTAAGCTAAATGTTTCAATACCATCATAAGTAATTTCGTTAACATGGGATCATTTATTTTTCCTTATGGGATCTCTTTGAATAAATTTTTTCCCAATTTTTCAGGATTCGATTTAGGAAATCCTTGATTTTATCGTTTTCTTCCATTGTTTTAAGTACAACCTTGATGACATTTGTTGCTTTCCAAAGTGGTATACAGGGTACCAATGGTTCATGTAAACTTGCTAAAAGCATTTTGAGTCCATGCGTTGATTTGAATAGATCCATTTGTTTTTGGTCCATTTTTCTTACGCTTTTTCGTGCACTTGAGGAAACACAAACCCAACAAGCACAATCATATTGGTTATCACTTTTATTGAAATTTGATGTCGATGATTACGGTGATTGTGATGAAGATGATGAAGCACCAATATTAATTTATTCACTACAATGTTAACAGGCACAATTAACAAAACAAATTCTCAATTCACATAATATTCTTTAAATATTTTGTCTCATATTTTTTATGAATGGTGGAGAATGAAAATTCTGTTATGAGTCTGAAAAACAGAGAGTTAAAAATTTAAGAAAAAGTGTGCTGGAGCCAGCCATTTTATACTACTTTCATTCCGGGATTGATGCTAGTATTAGTATGAATAGGATTCAGCTCATTATCATAATCTGTCACTGTCCTTTGTTTTGATTGTGGCAACGTTAAATAAACTGGTATTAGTACTAACTTATCACTGTTTCCGTTTCCTGATATCAGAAGAGCATGATGTCCAAATTATTTTTTCAAAACCAAGTTCATTATCTGCAGAACAATTGTACATAAATATCTTACAACTTGTTAGTAACTAACCGTTTTTCAATTATGAATGCAAACAGAGGTGATGGATTAAATAATCTCCCTGTAAATATAAATTAGTTGAAATATTTTTCCTTCATCTTCATCACCTTTAGCAAACAGCTTATTAATTTCCAGAAAAATAGTGCAAACTTGTAACATAAAGAGAAATTGTAATGGTAAATTGATCCACCAACACTTGCTTATGAAAATGCCATCCTCACGAGTGCTACACAAGGGTTCGCTGTTGCTATTGACTCAGTAATCAACTTTTTCGCATAGACTCTAAAAGTATCATAAGCTTCCTTCACTTATCACACTATTTCAGCTTTTGTGGTAAATTCAATCAAGTTAACTAAATTTTCAAGACTGAAATCTTGATTCAACAGATGACACTAAAATGAAGTTCTAACAATTAACGAGTTATCCTGCTGAACATGTGCGTATTAGCGCCAAAAAAGAATCAGCATAAAATCGAATAGAAAAGAGTTTCAAGTTATTTTTACCAGATGACAGCAGCTACCTTGCAATAAAAAGGTTGAACAAAAGACAAAAAAGTCTCATAGATGTCCCTACCTGCTCAGTAATTTTACGGTTGAAACTCAGATATTATTTTCAAATCCATCATTAGATTTACTGTTTTCAGATTCAGATCCACTTGAACAAAAAATTGAATTGAAAATGAAATTAAAATATAACTCATATTTGCTAGTCAATCATTATAACTAAAATGAATGACCTAATACTTTATCAAAGACATGGTCAACATCTTCTTGACAAACTTTATTAATGCTCTTTGAGCAAAAAACTTTTTTTTGTCCCATGAAGTTTCTATAGGTTTCTAAAATTCACCGAAATTGTCACGAAAAAATCTAGAGAAATGAAATATGAAGCAAAAAACAATGAAAAAAGCATTGTTCATTCATGACATGATGAAGGGAAAGAATGCATAAATCGAGAATCGAAATTGTATTTGTCTAGATTTATTCAGAAACATCAATTTTCATTTGATGTTGAACAACAACAAGCACAGAAACAAAGTATAAATATATTTATGATGAAAAAGGAAAGAATTGAAAAAAAGATGAAAAAGTCTATTCAATTTGATAGACACTGGTATTGATATTATTTCATTTCATCCTTTTCATCTTCTCCTCATGATATAATTTGATCAGCAAGAATAAAATTTCAAGCCCGTCAGCAAAGAGTCCAAAGAAGACTGGAAAACAATATCGGCCAGAAAATGAGTAAAAATGATGAACATGATTTCCATGGGAATTCTTGATGGAAATGTTTATTTTCCTTTCTTTTTTGCATCAACTTTTCAGTTCTGAGCAAAAACTGAACATCAATTATAATGAAAAATTGCGAGTTTCAGTGTTTTGTTTGTGGGCAAAAAGAAAGAAAACTAAGAAAAATGTTTAAATCAAGAAATGAAAATGAACATGAAAATAAAGATGGAGCCAAAAGGAGAAAAACAGTAAAAAGCATTTTCATCTTTTCTCATCAATATTTAGTCTTGTGTGTTTTTATTCAATGAAAACAAATGGTAAAGAGTATAAAATGAAATGCAAGATGATGATGCGAAATGCTGTGAAAAAATAACATGCAAAAACCATGTCAACAAAAAATTTACTATCAATTGGAGAAAAGCTTTTCTCTCTTTTCCTCCTTTCAACTCCCACTTCTCAACGTCCATTCACACTGAAAGCATTCATCATTTTACACACTCTTGTTGCTGTTACATGAAAATAAAAAATGATCTCACCCCTTGGATCAGTTTTTACCCTTACTCTTCCTAAACTTTTTTTTTACTTCATCTTCTTTAGAAAGAGTGAGAGAAGAAGAAAGAAGCCACAGAAGATGAGGAGGCAAAGAAAATTGACTGATGATTGAGAAGATGGAACAAAATGGAAAAAATTTTTCCCCTTTTTTTAAAGCGAGCCAAAGATATAAATGCTAAGATGTAGATGCTGGGAGTTTGAAAACAGGCTATAATGTAATAACTAGGAAGGAGGTAAAAACAGAGTTGGATTGATGTTTAAAAAGAAGAAGAAGAAGAAGATGATGATGATGATGATGATGATAATGATGAAAACGCAATCAATGTTATCGAGGGTTTGCTTATTGAGGGTGACCAGGAAAAAATTAAACGCTATGGAAGAGGATGATGATGCTGATGATGGGGAGGAAGAAAAGGAGGAGGAAAGGATAGAGGGAGAGATGGAGTTTAAAGTATGCAAAGAAAAAAAGTTGAGTGAGAATCTTGGAGAGAGAGAGAGAAAAGTTTTTTTCTTTTACTTTTTTTTTCTCTCCTTCCAACACTGCGAGGCATGGGTTAGGCATTGGCCTTTTT